ATCTTTATTCCTGTCCTGCCCCTAGGTTCTTCGTGACCTTTTTTTTCTTTTAGATTCCATATATATGTGTTAGCATACAGTATATTTCTGACTTACTTCACTCTGTGTGACAGACTCTAGGTCCATCCACCTCACTACAAATAACTCAGTTTTGTTTCTTTTTATGACTGAGTAATATTCCATTGTATATATGTGCCACATCTTCTTTAGCCATTCATCTGTTGATGGACACTTAGGTTGCTTCCAAACCCTCAGAGTGGGAGAGAATATTTGCCAATGAAGCAACTGACAAAGGATTAATCTCCAAAATTTACAAGCAGCTCATGCAGCTCAATATCAAAAAAACAAACAACCCAATCCAAAAATGGGCAGAAGACCTAATTAGACATTTCTCCAAGGAAGATATACAGATTGCCAACAAACACATGAAAAAATGCTCAACATCATTGATCATTAGAGAAATGCAAATCAAAACTACAATGAGATACCACCTCACACCGGTCAGAATGGCCATCATCAAAAAATCTACAAACAAAAAATGCTGGAGGGGGTGTGGAGAAAAGGGAACCCTCTTGCACTGTTGGTGAGAATGTAAATTGATACAACCACTATGGAGAACAGTATGGAGGTTCCTTAAAAAACTAAAAATAGAACTACCTTCCGACCCAGCAGTCCCACTAGTGGGCATATACCCTGAGAAAACCGTAATTCAGAAAGAGTCATGTACCACAATGTTCATTGCAGCTCTATTTACAATAGCCAGGGAGCATAGTTCTTGATTTTCTTGTCCAACCTCATTCTCAGACAGACTCTATGGGCCTGGGGCTCAGAGGTGGGTTTTTCCTACTACTTCTACCTCCTTCCCCATGGGAGCCAAACTTTACTTTGGATCTGTAGGTTGTGTTGGGTGCAGTAGAGTTTTCCAGCCCCTTTCCCAGCATTTTCAGACATCTGCTTTATATTGGCGCAGGGTCTTTCTCTCAAGAGGGTTTTCTACCCTCCTTTTTTTTTTTTCTGGGAGTAGATAGCTTTTGCTTCTACTCTTTACCCGGAAGCAGTGAGTCTTTGCCTGAGCTTTCGGGTTAATAAAATTTCCTACCTCTACCCCAGAGGCAGATAGGATTTGTTTCTCTCCTTTCTTAGTGGCTTGAGCTTTTGTCTTTGTATGAGAGAAGACTAGAGGAGTGTGCAAAGTTCTTTGCTTTTCTCTCTGTGACAGACATTCACCTGCTTCATACCTGTCCCACCAAGTGAGGCTCTCTCCGGTTTCCTGATGTACCTCCAGTTGTCCTGAGCTCCCAGAGGAAGCCCGTGGAAAAGCACTTCTCTCTGGAGTTCCTAGTTTTTCTAAACTGTTGTGCTAACCCACATGCAGTCTTTCAGAATTTACTAACGTTTCATCTGCCTTCTTCTTACCAGCATTTTTGGTATTCATCTCTTCCTTCCTTGCTCTGCCAATGTTGAAATATTTTGTGAGCCCAGCCTCTCCTCAGAGGGGTTTGTCACTCTCTAGAATTCATGTCATTTGTTTGCTTTACAATCTCAGATCTCTGATGGGTTCAAGGAAAGTTAGGATTTTTACATTGTCTGGCTCTTTCTCATTGTTACATTTCTACATTCTAAGGAAGAGTGGAACACTCTCTCTACCTTTAAAAAAATATACTGATCTTGTAACTTGATTTTTTTTTTTCACTTACATCTCGTGGTTTCACTTATAACTTGGAATTTGTTCTATATCAAGACATAACTGGCATGTGCTTTATTCTTTTTTATATTTGTTTATTATATATTGGTCAGAGTAATATACGTAGTACTCATATATGTATAAGAAGTCGAGATTTATTCAAGATTAATGGTATAAAGACTCAAGTTTTATAATAAAAAACCATGCTATCCTGCACTGCAACTGACCATTTCTGTTTCCCTTTTTCCAAAGGCAACCACTCACTACCCGTTTTAGTTGTTCTGTTATTTTCTACTGTCAGTAGCTTATACTGAGATTTCTTGGTGTTTTTTTGTTTGTTTGTCTTTCTTCTTAGGTTATTATCTGAGTTCCTGCTATGGAAAATGAAGATTTAGTTCTCTTATTCATACTCCACATGTATACTTTTCTATGTCTGTCTAATTTAACCCCAGACTCTCTGCCAAGTAAACACATCGTGTACTTTTTTAGTTTCTTGGGTTTTCTTTCTTGGAGCTCTTTATCCTTCTCTTCTACTTTGGATTGTTTGTTTGCTGGATCTGCTAAAGACCCACTATTTTGGTTCTTTTCTTCACCATTTCACTGAAAATTGCTTTTGCCTCTCTCCCTTGTTGAGTTGCCTGTTTTCTGGACAGTTTCCCTTTTTCTTCAGTTATTTCCTTGTGTTGATGGAGTACATGCTCTAGTAGCTTCCTGATAGAGGATACATAGGGAGTAAATTTTTTTGAGATCTTATAGGTCTGATACATCTTTATGTTTCCCACACAGTTGATAGTTTTTCTGAGACATAATTCTAAATTAGAAATACTTTTTTCACAGAGTTTTGAAGGCATTGCACCAATGTTTTCTACCTCTCAGCATTCCTGTTGAAACTCCAAAGCCTTCTGATTCTTCAGCCTGTTATGAAACCTTTATGTTTCGTCTCCCTCTTGATGCTTTTCTAACTTCTTTTCTCAGGAGTTTGGAAAATTCATGGGTGATTGACTTGATTTGTATATTCTTTTATAAATTGTGTTAGGTGTTTGGGTTTCAGTCCAGAAATTCATATACTTTAAAAGTGGGAAACTTCTTATATTTTTTCTTTGATAATTTCTTTCCTTCCATTTTTGCTAATGTTTCTTTCTAGGTTACCTGTTAGTCTAATGGATGATCTTCTGATTCTTTATTTTCTATCTCTATCTCTTTTTCTTTATGTTCTGTTTTCTAGGAGATTTCTTCACTTTTGTCTTCCAGTCGTTCTTTGAAGTATTTTGCTTCAGCTATTGTATTTTTTATTTCCCAGAGCTCTTTCTCATTCTCAGAATATTCCCCTTTATAACCTCCTGTTCTTGTTTAATGGGTGTAATATTTCTCTCTCTTTCTTTCTCTCTGAGAACGTTTTTTTTTAATCTTTTTTTTTTTTGAAGTTTTATTCTGTTCCCTGTGTTGTCCTCACCATCCTTGTGGGTCGTAGGCTGGGTGTTGTCTTCTGAGGCCCAGTGAGGAAGGGAGCTGGGGAACCTTATCTTCCAGAATGTAAGGATGTAGCTTTGGACTCCATCTCCGTATTTGCAGTGTGGCCTGTAGATCCATCCCATCCTCAGCTGTACCTGGTGTCCAGAGCCTCTCTGTTTTAGGCCTTTCTGAAGAGGAAACCTTTTAGGAAATCTGTCTCCTTGGGGTCAGAGAGGTAACCTGGAAGTCTCATAGCATTTTGAAAGAGCTCCAAACAATCCTTCTGTTTTCAGGCTCTTCCAGGATTCATCTTTAGAAGTACCAGGTGTGCTTCTGATTCCCGAGGCTTTCTGGGGTCCTGGAGCACAAATGGATTTACTCTTTGTGAGCTCTTTGCTGGCTTCTTGCTCTGCAGGTGAGGTTTCAGCCAGCTCACATCTGCTAAGTTAGTTGCAGCTAATCTGCTTTCCAGGTTACCAACTTTGACTTACCTCTTCTGCTGTTGCTTCCTTTCATATTCTGGTGAGGGTAGGGGCAGAGGGCAAGAGAGAGAGTTTATGGCTTATTGGATTATCAATTTAGAGTTGTTTGGGGAGAGAGAAGAGATTACTCTTTGTGGTCACTGTGTCATGTTTAAGCAGAAACCTTACAAAAGCAGTTTCATGAGAGTGTTGGGGTAGAAATCAGAGAGCAGCAGGCTTGGGAGTCAGTTGAAGGTGAAAAATTAGGCTTAGGGAATGAAATCTAATACTTAAGTAACTTTGGTTATTAGTAGAAGGAGAGAAAGGGAGAAATGAAGTGCTAAATGTATTATTACCAACTTCGACTGAGCACTCAGGTGCCTGAGGATCTGTATTCTTCTAACCAGCCAGCTCTTTCTTTCCCTGAAGTGACTTATTCCTTGCAGTGTACACTTTCCTCAGATTTATAACCCCCTCCGTCAGCTCTCCTCTCATTCTGTGGTCCTGTTTTGTGCTTCACAGAGAACTTGTGAGTGGGAGTCTCCTCAGGCCTTCCCGTCCACGTGTATCTGCATTTACCCACGTTTTCTCCTCCGTCCTTTCACAGTTGTACACTATTTGCTGGAAACGTAGTTTGTGTTTATATATGGATTTAATTTATCCCTTTGATCTTTGACATCTGATAACATAAATACTGCTTATAATAGGAAATAGGCCTTTTCCCCTCCTGGAGTACTTAATAACACCAGCTCCACAAAAAGAGAATGTAACCAGTTAAAGTCACTTATAATGTGATTAAAATACTTACTACTTCAAAATATCTGAGCTCAGAATGTATTTTACACTAGACATTGACCAAATCATCTGGGAAAAGCCAGGATATTCCAGATTTCACTTAAAGTTAGGGTTTAGTTTTCAGTTTTTTTGCCCATGTCATTAGCAATATTCAGTGACCCTTGTCAGGACTTTTCCAGTACAGACATAGTAATATTTCTATTGTTAATTTGACTTCAGAAGTGATAAAGAAGCCCTTTTAGTCACTTTAGCACTTGTGATGATTATTGTCTACTGTTTGAAAAAGAATTATTTACTTCTTCACCACCTTGGTAGAGCCCATGTTGTATAAATATAATACATATACTAAATATGGGGCTTTATTGATGACTTAAATTATAAATTTAAATAAACAGATAAAAGCAGGAGACATAAGAAACAGATTCGAATGTAGAAAAGGGATAGATGGTACCGTTCATGTTGGTTATTCTTGTGTCCGTGGTTCTGGGGTCAGAGGTGGAGAGAACGAGCAGAATAACCTTTGCCCTTGCTTAATTGATGAGTCAACTTTTTTCTTTTTGAATTTGAGTCTCTTTCCCCGGACTTAAACAATTGGTTTAATTTTTCAGACAGGGGAAAACAAAGGATGGAGTGGTCCAAAGGCTGGGTTTCCTGAACCAACAAATAACAGTAAGTTTCTATTTTTATATTAACTATACTTGGTGTTCATCAGTGGTTCAGTGACTTGTCCCTCATTGGGTATTTACTGGGTCTGTTTGGACCTGAGATGAGACGTTAAGTGTTATGGGGGATGCACGGAAGTTGTGGTGTTTGCTTTCCTGGAACTGACAGAAGACACAGGTACTCATATCTTTAACATGGTTCAGTCATTGCAGACGGAGTACTATTTTATCCATAAAGGAGTGATGTTCTTTTTTTATAAGTTGTTTTTGTTGTGACATTATTACAATAGAAAAGAATCAAGAAAGAAAAACAATTATCTATCAGCCCATTATAACCCAACATCAACTCTTTTCACAGTTCTACTTTTTAGGTACACACACACACACACACACACACACACACACACACACACACACACACACACACACACACACACACACTTTTACATAATTATAATATAGATGAAAGTTTGTACTGGGTTTCATTTAACATTGTAATACCCACATTTTTCAGGTTGTGCTGAGTCGTTAGAATTTTTGATATTTTATTAAAGTCACTAATTGAAATATCAGAAATGTAAGAATAAAATTGCTTACAATTTTATTCCAAATATACTATATCAGACATTTAAAAATCCACTTCAGGTTATTTCTTTTTTCAGAGGTACATGATCAAGCTGTTATGCATTGGAAGCATAGATATTTTGCTTGATTTCCTCCCCAGCTTTCCCAAAAAGCATCTGTTGTCACTGAAGTGACTATTTTACTGTTAATCAGTAAAACAGCACAGCCAGCCAGTGAAGACCTCATCGAAGTGAAGGCCCGAGTGAAGTCAGGTCTCTCTCATTTCTAACCCTAGTTCTCTTCTTCATAACCTTCAGAAGCTGAATTAGCTTAAATATGTAAATCGTCATAATGAAGAGTATTCTTTCATGTTAGCAGCTCATCTCTTGATGTATAATGAAATTTGTAACAAACTCTTATCAAAGCATGCTTATGAGAATTGAATTCTTGGATCACCAAAACTAGCCTCTTGGAAAGACTATTTCAGTGAGGTAATAGTATTCATGAGTTACTTTCTGGGAATAATTTAAATAATGTAATATGACTCTGGGCCTTTTGTCTCTGTATGTAAGGATGATGAATGTGATAGGCTTAGCACATTGCCCAAAGAAAAAATGGAATCAGTTCAGGATTCTCAGAGAGTTTGTTTTTAATTCCTTTGATGTTTGAATATATACGATTATAATTACTTGGTCAAGGAATGTAAGAAACATTCAGTTGATCTCAGTTTTATGTAAAGTACTTAGCACAGTATCTCTTTCTTAGTAAGCACATAATGAATGTTAATTTCCTTCCATGCCTTCTCTCGTTTTTTTAATAAAAATTCTATAATTCTGTGTAAGCTCGCCAAAAATTCCATTCTTATACTTTTTATCTGTCAGAGTTTTTGCATGTACATGTGAACCAAAGAATATGTATGGTTTATATTTGAATAGTTACTTTTGGCATTAGATATTTTTTCAAAGAACATAAACATTATGTATTTGAATATGGAAGTCAGATAGTTGTTAACTTGATAGTTTTAACATGAAAGCACATTGTAGCTAGCCTGCAAACTCCCATCGTTAAACAGTGATATTTTGACCCTCATCTTTATGTCTGTTCATTTTTTTCATAATTTGCTAAGGGATTTGGAACTCCTTTGCAAGTAGGGGAAGAAATATCACAGAGAGGCCAGTGAGTTTCAGTGATGAGAAATGCATAAAAGATTTGCTTTAAACGTAATGTTAGAAGTGATAAAGCGATTTGAAGCCCCCTCAAAATTTAACCAAACTGTTAACACTCTAGGACTTCCTCTGGTCTACAGTAGAGTAGCTCAAACTGAGAATTTGAAAGAAGGATGATCACCCCTTCCCAGTGTGAGGAGGTGAGAAAGCTGATACAAGGTTCTTCTGTGAGTGGCCTGCAGGTTACCACAGACAATGAGGGCAGCCCAGCTCTGAAATTTAACTGTTTCTCTTCCCCAGAGCTAGTTCTCTCTAGTGGAGCCCCCAGGTCCTCTGGAGCCAGCTCGTAGCTACTTAAATACAACGTTAGGAAAAAGTTGGTTGCTATGATGACTCCATTACCTAAAAAGTAATTTGAATTCATATATTATGATAATGTTTAGGTTAAATTCTCTTCTACTTAATCAATCCTTAAGTTTGAAATTCTGCCCTAGGTGGTTCCTGTCCTGTGGACAATACCTGTGTTAGTGTTTTGCAGGCAGGGGATAGAGCAGGGGTCTCAGTATGGCGCATGTGGGAAGACAGGAATTTGAGAGACTGCCAGAGCTGCCTGCCTCACTGCCATATTGTCTGACCTTGAGCAACTCAGTTTACGTCTTATTTTTCAATGTGCTCTGTTAAGAGTTACACATAATCAATTTATAGTATTGAGTATCTTTAATTTTCTAGCATTTGTAAAATGATTAATCATCCTTGAATAACATATGAAAAGGTAACATCACTTTGTAGAAAACAGAATGTCATCATAAAGTGACTCTCTTTTTTTTTTGATTGAACTTTACGTTACTTCACAAGTTGTAGATAAAAAGAACAAATTTTTAGCCAACAATTATTTGGATAAATATTATGAAATTAACTTGGAACCACAGTGTACAAAAATTAAAAGAAGAGGACTTCCCTGGTGGCACAGTGGATAAGAATCCGCCTGCCAGTGCAGGGGACATGGGTTCGATCCCTGGTCTGGGAAGATCCCACATGCCACGGAGCAACTAAGCCCGTGTGCCACAACTACTGAGCCTGCGCTCTAGAGCCCACGAGCTACAACTGCTGAGACCGCATGCCACAACTGCTGAGTCCGTGTGCTGCAACTACTGAAGCCCACGTGCCTAGAGCCCGTGCTCTGCAACAAGAGAAGACACCGCGATGCGTAGCCCATGCACTGCAACGAAGAGTAGCCCTCGCTCACCACAACTAGAGAAAGCCCGCATGCAGCAATGAAGACCGAACGCAGCCGAAAATAAAAAAAATTTAAATCTTCAAAAAAAAATTAAAAGAAGAGAAGACAGAATTGGAAAGGGGGAAGAAGGCAATTTTAACCTGGCACAGCTAGCACCTAACTGTAAGTAGACAAAAAAAGTTAATGTACATGTGCATTTAATTTTTGAAGTGGAAGATATTTTTTTAAAACATTACAGTCATAAGAAACTGCTAACAGTTACAACAAAAAAAATAGTTTAAATGGTTTTGCAAGTGATTGTGATTTCAGAGCCTGGCTCCTGGCTTGATGGCCTGCAGATTTAAAACATGGACCTAATTTTTGCATGCTTCACAAGCCTTTCTTCATTGCACTGAATTGCAGAATGTAGACTCTTCTCAGTGTATTTTCACCCTGTGAATCACTGTCATAGTCGTGTTGAAGTGCAAGAACACATAACTCTGTAATGTGAGGTTTGTGTTAAATTTAGCGTGGGGCAATTTTATACTTGGCACACACATAAGAAGCTAGATTTTTACAGATGAATGACTAACAAGTTTTTTAAAAGATCATGCATTTTAAAGACTTACTGACGGCTCATGGAAAACTTTGTAAAATTTTTAGATACAGTTCAGTTGATAAAATCTTTTTTTTTTTTGTATTCACATTCCATGTTTCTTATTAACACAGGGTTTTACTTAAAAGCAGGTTCATTGTTTCTTAAAGGTAAACTCTAGCTTAATTCGAAATTGGACTAAGCTCAAAAGCATTCACTGGTATGTGCCGAATCCACCCACTAAAAGATTGTTCGGAGGCATTTTTCACATAAATATTTTTCCGTTAACCTTTTAAAAAGTTTTATTTAGCCCCTGTGAAATACGCTGGCTCTTCTAAGGTTCATTAGAGATGACCCAAGACAAATACTTTTGGGATGGGAAGGAATTCTTAATAACCTTTTCAGTATTGAAGTTGACTTATCAAAATTTTTGTCACTTTTATGTTATATCCATGTATTATTAAACTCTGTACATCCTGAAACCAGGAGGATAAACCATCCTGGTGACATGACATTAGAGAGATTGCATGCTTGTATCCCCTATGCTGTGTGCTGTATTTAGAACCTCTACATTTTGGAGGGGCGCGGGTGGGTGAAGTCTGTACTTTTAAGAGAATAGATGAATAGATCCTTTAAGTGTTTTGGGAGAATTCCCTGAACAGTTCCCTTTTGGGGCTCCCATAACAGAAGCCACTTTGTAATGACAGTTAAATTAGTTGGAGCCAATAGGATTTAAATACAGAGCCAAGTGATTCAACTGAATTATTTATTTAGACATATAAATACTATGTTGGAAATCTAAGAGTGTAGCTGACTTGTAGCAGTCTATTTTATTTTTTCTTCTTCCAGTTTCATTGAGATATAATTGACGTATAGCACTGTATAAGTTTAAGATGTCCAGGCATAATGATTTGACTTACATCATGAAATGATTATCACAATAATTTTAGTGAACATCTATCATCTCATACAAAATTAAAGAAGTAGAAAAAAATATTTTTCCTTATGATGAGAAATCCTAATATTTGCTCTCTCATCAACTTTCATCTGTAACATCCAGCAGTGTTATTTCTGTGTATCATATTGCACACTACATGCCTAGTACTTATAACTGGAAGTTTGTACCTTTGTTGACTGCCTTCACCCAGTTCCCCCTTCCTTACCTCCCACCTCTAGTAGCCACATATCTGATCTCTTTTTCTATGAGTTTGTTTGTTTGTTTTTGAAGTATAATTGACCTACAACACTGTGTTAGTTCCTGTTACACAACATAGTCATTAAATATTTCTATAAATTTCAAAATGAGCACCACAGTAAGTCTAGTTATGACTTCACCATACAGAGATATTACATAGTTATTGATTATATTCCCCACACTGTACATTTCATACCCATGACACATTTATTTTGCAACTGGAAGTCTGTACCATCCTAATCTCCCTCATTTATTTCTTTCCTCCCCCAAC